CACAGACCCACAATCTCGTGGCCCGGCACGAGCCCGGGTTCGGGGATCGGGGTGGCGGGAATGCAAATTGCGATGATACTGTGGGGAGCAATCGGCAACGTGATAAATTGGTGTGGAAAGTACAAATAACGCCTTCTGCCAGGAACTCCTATTCTGGCATTCAGTGTCCGTCGTGCAGAGACGGAGCGTGCGCATAGGTGCACCGTGAGCACCACTCAGCCGCGAAAAACGAATTAACACCTTTTGCGACGTTCTGGATGGAGCAAGCCCGTCGTCCTGGGCGAAGCGTCGTGGGAGTGGGCACACACCACACGAGCTCACCGTTGGTCTGGAACTAACCGGCCGGCACCCGCGCGCACAGAGGTGAAACTCGACGGAAATGGTGCAGGTGGGCGGGATGGGTGAAGTCACACCGGACGGTGCAGAGATCCCAGCTGGGCGACGGAGCACTGGTGACTTCGACTCCAGGGCTGCAAGAGCAACCCATGTGACCAGAACGTTCGTACCCCCATAATATTCTGAAATTAAAAAAAAAGAAGTCGAATCTACACAAGGCAAGTTACTGCAGCGTTCTGGACGGTAGTGAAAGGCAGAATAACCCGGCACCGTCGCCCGGGGCTGAGCTGCGGTGGTGTCACTCATCGAACTGCGCCGTCGGGAGATAGGACGTCCTCAACGCCCCGCTGATCTCAGAGCGTCATCTTAAGTCTCATCAGCTTACACGGCAGCCGTTGGGCTAGTTATGCTCCCGTCTACGTGAACAGGGGGAAAAGGATGTATCTGCCCGACACATCGCCAGGAGGAGCCGGGTGCTGCCTGCGCAGGAGACACCGCGGGTGGCAGGTCGGGGAGGCAGGCTTCCCGCGTACACGCGTGTGCTCTGTGAGACGAGAACCACGTCCGCAGTGGTTCGATGGACAGAAAGTCCTGTTGAAACCAGAGCTTGTACCCTGTCAAAGTCTAAATCAGGACGCGAGGGGCAGAAACCGCGCGGCTGGAGACGTCGCCCAAGCCGTGAGCTGACCCAGGGTCCCTTCCAGCCCGGAGACCTGCGGACGGGGCCGGTCCCAGCTCTGGGCTCTGCGACAGACGATTTCGTCACCGTGATGTTGTAAAGGACGTTCCGTGGGGTTAAAGTATTTAGAATCCAGCTACAAAAATAGGTAAGACAATTACAGGACAGAGTGAAAGCGTCAGATCTCCGGCAGTGGCACAGCAGAGACGGGGCAGGGGGCTGAGGGACCCGTCTGTCCCCAGCCCTGCGTCTTTCACGGCAGATTTCAAGCTGACGAACCCAGAAACAGCAGTGAGACTGTGATTTGAGGTTGTGATGCTGGAAGAGCAAGAAACAGAAACCGGTGGCCGTGGCTGTTTCCGGAGAGCGGGTGTGGGGCCCCGGGGAGACGCGTGTTTGCAACCTGGGACCACTGCAGCTGGGAGTTTTCTGCCGTGCACTTCTGGGGCTGCTGAACGGCGGGTAATGCGCCAACGCGCAGACGTGTTTGTACATTAAACACGTTTTGCAGGGAAACCTACACAAGCAGGGTGTTCCCACCCCTTCCCCTCCAGCGAGGGCCTGCACGGCGTCGCAGGGCAGGCCCAGAACCTCTCGGCTCTTCCCCAGAAAAAGGGAACTGACTTTGCTGTTCTTGCCAGCCCTGCTGACTCCAGAGGAAGCAGAGGGTCTCGCTCACGCACCGGCAGCTCTGCGCCTGCAGCAGGGAGGCCCGTCCCGCCCTGGGGCGTGCGGCGTTGGTCTCGGCCAGGCAGGTAAATCCAGACCCTCCCACGCCAGGCGTCGCGAGGAGCAAGCTCGTGCCCCTGCGCGGGGGGAACCTCGGCCTGTTCTCTTCAGAGGCAGTTTCTTTATCTGCCAGGTCTTTTGCCAGAAACGTTGGCTGCGTGAGGCTGTTGCCACAATTCCTTTCCCTATTTGCCATCAAAAAAAAATAAAGACACGTGTTTCTCCACTCAGCGTAAAGGCACAGTCGGCAAGACGGACAGCAGCGTGTGCCGCGGGGACGTGGAGGACGGGCCCGTGCGCTGCCCAGTGGCTCGGCCCTGGGGGGGGCAGCTCGGAAGTTCCCGGAAGGGGCGAACGCTGAGCTACGCTGCGACGCGCAGTCCCTCTCCCGGGTGCGATCGAGGGAAGCGAGAGCAGGTTCACCCGGAAACCTGTGCACGAGGCTCACAGCGGCCGAAAGCTGGACACCGCGCAGATGCCGCCAGCGGATGAAGGAGTAAATGCACCGTGCCGCGTTCGCAGCATGGAGCGTCGCCCGGCTGGGAAAAGGACGAAATACGATTCCTGCCCAGCGTGGACGAACCGTGACAACGGCGTGCTCGGTGGAAGAAGCCGGTCACAGAAGGCCACACGTGATATTAACACCATATGGTTCCATTTGCATGAATGTCCAGCGCAGGCGACTCCTCAGGGACAGAAAGCGGGAGAGGGTGTGGCGGGACCCCACTCACGGGGACGTGTTCTGCCGTGTTGGGGTGTTGCCCAGGCCTGAGAAGGTGCTGAAAGCCGTGAGTTGTGTGGTGTGCAAATGCTCTCCCAATGGACACGCACACACGTGTGTCGTCAGCACGTTTATTGCAGGCTGCGGGGTGGCTGTGTGGGGCCACCCTGGGCACCTGCCCACTTCCCGCTGCCTCCCGGGCCATGGCTGGAGGGCGTCCAGGCCGGGGGCCTGCGTGCACTGCTGGGCCAGACTGCGTCTCTGTCTGTCTCTCTGCTTCCTGGGCACCCCCAGGTTGCTGTCCAGCTGCTCGGGGATCCCGGCCTCGCTGCCCTCGGGTGCCTGGAGAGCAGGTTTTACCCGAATCCTCCTCCTCAGGCTTCTGGGAGGTTTCCGTTGTATCCTCACCTCAGTTTTCTGCAGCTTGTTCTTAACCTCGGAATATTCCCACCATCTCTGTCTTTCGTGTTCCTTTCTCTTCTCTGCTACCTCGGAATTCTCACTGCCACCCCCTTACTGACAGCCTATTAGAAATTGCTGTGCAGGGAGCAAAAATCAAACCCTAAAAGGGCAGGAGGCTGGGGGCGCTGTGGGAGGGGAAGAGAGCAGAGTCCTCATCGGGGTTTTATTACTTACGAGTCAGGTTGCTTAGCAATCACGGTTTCACACATAGCGACGTTTTCAGTCCCCGTTTATTAATGTTTCTCACACATCTTCTCTGCTTTGCTTTCCAGATGCTTATTCATTGGTTTTAGCAGCCAGGTGACATCGCACCACGTGAAAATTAGCTTGGGGCTTTGCAACACGCCAGTCTAGCAAGTGCCGCCCTGGAACCAGGAAGTCGCAGAGCGTGTTCTCCAGGGGATTCGAGGCCCTTCCGGCCCTTTCCTCTCGGGGGGTGGGGTTTACGCTTTCAGAGGGAAACAGACCTTTCCGGGCGACGTAAGAGAATCGCTGTAGAGGGGACGCGGACGCAGGCTTTGGGCGCTGAGTGAGGGGAGAGCCCTGCCGGCTGGGCTGACGCGGGCGCGGAGATTGCCGTGCGTGGTCTGCGCGGCGTGAGCAGAGACGCCGCCCTGGTGTGCCGGGCACTAGGTTGGGTTGTTAGAAAACAAAGGGAGTTGCACCGTAGTATTTTTTTACATCTAGAGGCATGTTAATCCTTAGCATTCCACAGCAGCGTTAACCGTGTGGGCCTCCGCGGGTCTGTGTGGGACGCGTGTGGGCGTGACGGTGTTGTCCCGCGCGTGCAGCGGTAGTGACATCGCTGACACGCACGCAGCGTTTTAAATATGCGAAACCTCGCTCGGGGCATCACACGTTCCTCTCACCCGATCTCGGTGTGGTCACAGACGACTCCGCGGCCTGATGGGGAGGAAGCGGAGGCCCGAGGGGGCCACGTGGCTTGTCCTGTCTCAGGGTGCTGGGTGCTGGGCCGGCCACGGTTCCAGAGCCTTCTCTGGTCTCTGCTCACTTTTGGTCCCCGGACGCCGGGCCGTGCCACCAGCCGCTGGGGCTCGTGGGTGCTCCTGGCAGAGGACGCTGGCAGCGGGGCTTTGCCGCAACCTCTGGGAGGCCCAGCCAAGTATGGGGTTGGGACGTCGTGGGCCCTCTGCGGGGCCAGTAGGCTCCGGCCGCCTCGACAGTTCCTGCCTCGTCCTCACGCGTGTTTGGACGCCTCCTGGGCGACTCTGGAGGAAGGGGCCTGCGGGAGGGAGCCGTGGACGCCGGCCAGGCCTCCTGGACGTCCCTCCCGGCTGGCAGGTCGCTCTGAGCTGTGAACAGCTGGAGCCGGGGTCTATCTCGTCCGTGAGAGCAGCCTGCTCTTCATTATTGCTCCGGCTGTCACCTGACGCTGTAACGTCAGATTCAAGATGAAAAGGGGCCCAGGGATGAACAGAGAAGCCAAAGGCAGAAAATCCACATGGAGCGTTGCTCAGCCCTGAGAAGGCGGCAGTCCTGGCGCTGCTCTGATGCACTGCGCCCACGGACACCACGCTGCGTGAGATGCTGCGTGACTCCACCCAGATGAGGTCCCCAAGCGTCACTCCCACAGGACAGGAGGGGACGGTGGTGCCGGCCTGGGCGGGGGGCAGTGGCCGTTTCATGGGGCTGGGCTTGGTCTGGGCGGAGGAAGGTTCCGGAAATGATGGCGGTGATGGCTGCGCGGAGGCGGGCACACCTGGCGCTGTTGAACTTACGCTCAGAAACGGGTGAGGCAACAACTTTGTGTCACGTGTATTTTACCACAATTTTAAAAACTCGAAGGGCCTAACGTGGGTAGAAATCCCAAGGCAGACGGATCCCTGCTTTGATCTTTGTCCTGGAGGTTGACGTGTGTTGGTTTGCGTTTCGGCGGCGCGAGTGGCGTTCGGGAAACCCAGACGGCGCGTGGCGCCAGTGAACGCGGGGAAGCCAGAGCAGGCATGTCCCTGCGAAGTGACTCTGTTATTTGGAAACATCTCCGTGACGGGCAGGTGGACTGGACGTTTCCATGCCAAACGGATGACGTGTGTCACCTTTGCTTTCCAGGTGAAGCCAAAAATCTTCCCTCCTACCCGGGGCCAAACAAGATGAGGGACTGTTACTGCACCGTGAACCTAGACCAGGAGGAGGTTTTCAGGACCAAAATCGTGGAAAAGTCGCTCTGGTAATGTCCCCGTCACCGTTGTGGTGCAGTTTCCTCCTCTGTGTGGGAAAGGCCCTGCCACGTGCTGTCTCGCCGATTTCCACGTTGCCTCGTCCGAGCGCGGAGGGCGAAGCGCTCGTCGGGCTCTGGCTTGTGGGGCAGCGGGCGCCAGGCTCCGTCCAGGTGTGGCCTGGTGGCCGCCGACCGCCCTGATGCCAGGACTCTGAGCAGGTGCGTGTGTGACCACCGGCCTGCCAGGACACAGGTACCGGGAAGAGACCTGGGAAAACGTTACCGATGCAGTTTGAGGAAGAGACGACCCAGCCAAGGAAAACCAGCCCCCACCTCACCCTCGCCCCAACCCTAACCCTAATCCTCACCCTCACCTCACCCCAACCCTCACCCTCACCTCACCCTCGCCCCAACCCTAACCCTAATCCTCACCCCAACCCTAACCCCAACCCTCACCCTCACCCCAGCTCTCACGCTTACCTCACCCTCACGTCACCCCAACCCTCACCCTCACCCCAACCATAACCTTCACCCCAACCCTAACCCTAATCCTCACCTCACCTCACCCTCACCTGAACCCTCACCCTCACCTCACCCCAGCCCTAACCCTAACCCTCACCCCCACCTTAGCCCTCACCCTCACCTCACCCCTCACCTCACCCTCACCCCAACCCTAACCTTCACCCTCACTCCAACCCTAACCCTAATCCGCACCTCACCTCATCCTCACCCTCACCCTCACCTCACCCCAACCCTAACCCTCGTTGTGGTTTAAGACCCTCGACTTAAAGGTGGCCAGTTTGTGTACATCAGAGCTTCTCCCTTTGGCCTGTGGAGACACGGATGCTGACCCCAGGATGTCCGTGGTGGAACTGACATGTCTAGTAAGCTCCGGGAGATGCGCATGCCAGCCACGCTCTGAGCGGCGCCGGAATCCCTTCCTGGATGGGCGCAGGGCTCGGCCACGCAGGGAGGCGGCGGCGTGTATGCGGGGTGGGAGAGAGGAACAAAGCCGTGCGTGGAGAGCGTGTCGGGAGGTGGGGTGGGACGGGGGCTCGCGTCGGGCGGGGCTGGCGTCTTGCGAGAGCTGCTGACGGCGAAGTGTCAGCTGGATCACAGCGGTCATCTCTGCGCGGCTGGCGCCTCCACCTGCAGGCTTAGAGCTGGGGGCCGTGTGGCTTCATGAAACAGCTGTTTTGATTTCGAGAACATTTTTAGCAGGTGTTGCTCCTTCTAAGAGGGAACGAACAACACCTTCTTTCTTTTTTTAAAAGAGCCAGGGTCTTGCTGTGTTGCCCCGGCTGGGCTGCAGCTTCGCAATCATGTAACAGCTCCCGTGGCCTGAACTCTGGGCTCACGCGACACCCCTTCCCCTCCCCGGCCTCCCTGTGTGCTGGGACTACAGGCGTGAGCCGCCGTGCCTGGCCCAGACGACATGCTCCGATGACTCGATGAATCCAATTTCTAGAAAACTGCAGGGTTCTCCTGCCCCTCAGAGGCTGAAGCTCTCCCTGGTCTGCGCGGGGCCCACTGGTGCTTCTGGTTCCCTTCAGGAAGGCCCCCTGCGCCCGACGAGTAGAGTCGTTTGTGGAATTTTCATGCACTCTCCAGGATCTTTGAAATAATTTGTCAGAGATAATTACAGCCCGAGCAGCGTGGCCGGGGTCCAGCCTGGCTTTGCGGGGGTGTCTCTCGGGGCTGCGTGAGGACGGCCGGGGCCCTCGTTCCACTCGAGGAGGACAGAAGAAACGTCACTGTGCCCCTGGGGTTACTTTGTGGCTTCATTTGAGCAGGACCCTCTGTTTGCACGGTCTGCGACGGGCTGTCTCCGAGAGGCCGGGGCTGCCAGGCCTGTGGGGTCAGTCCCGGGAGGGGCCTCAGGGGAGGCGAGGAAGGGCCCAGATGCCTCCGACAGTTTGGCAGTGGAGTCGCGGGCTCTGTCTGCGCCAAGGGTGCGCGTCCCCCGGGCAGGAAGGGGCCGCTGCCGTCGGCAGTGGGGTCGGCGGTCTGCGCCGCCAGAGTTGCGTGGCCCGGAGGCCGGCGGGCAGGAGCAGGCCAGGCCACTCCGTGAGCTTAGTTACTGTTGTTCATTAATTTATTCGTTAGTTCAGTCATTACTTGACTTGCGGAGCGCTTGTCTGATGTGCCAGATGAGGAGGGGGTGCCGTCCGCAGAAAGTTGAGTAAGGAAGGAGATAAACTCGGACGGAATGGTGCCCAGAGCCTCAACAGTGCGGGTGCACGTGGCCTTCGGTGTGGAGGTCGCGTCGTGGGCCCTGCGCGGGCTGCGCCCTGCAGCGTGGGGGCGGAAGGTGAGAAAACTCCGTCTGCACTGGTGCCGACGCCGAGACCCAGACGGGCTCCTGCAGGAGTTCGCGGCCCGAGTCCACACACGTCCGTGGTCCAGGCCCTGGATCGTGTGTGTGCGTCGTGTGGTCCTGCGTGGGGTTTGCTGACGTCCGTCCAGAGAGGCAGGAGTCGGGGGCCAGAGCGTAGCCGTTGCCGCCAAGGAAGCGTTTGCTGCTCCCTCCGCGTCTCCCCGGTGCCACCCGCTGGCCTCTCCGCGCCCAGCCTGCGTCGCCCAGGTCGGCACCACCGCTGGGATCCGGTCGTTCATCTGGCAGAGTCGCCGTAGGAACGGCAACGCCAGCACCTGCCTCTCTGAGCCCAGAGGAGCCCAGGTGCTCTCTGGCTGTGTGATGTTTCCCTCCGAACGTTTACTTTTCTCTCTAATTTCTCAAGTTAAGCCTGAAAAAAAAATCTGTTGGACAGAAGTGGAGGCCTCAGTGTGAACCAGAACATTCCATGTCCCCTCTGAGTCCTGGGGTCCCCCGGTGCGGGTCCGTCCTCCCTGAGTCCTGGGGTGCTCCGGGTGGTACCCCTCCCCCCACTGGGGGTTTTCTGGGGTTTTCTGGGTGTGGGTTTCCGCTGGTCTGCAGGTGGGCAAGGGGAGCCCGTTCCTGCTCTGTGTTAGATGGCCAGTCCAGAGGGCTGCGGTTTTACTTTCGTGTGTGACGGGGCGGCTTTGCCTGTGGGGGACGGGAAGGGGCCCAGCCGGGAGCTGCGGAGGCCGTGCGGCATGGCGCGGAGTGGGGACTGGCGGGCAGGGCGACTGTGGTATCCGGGGTCCCGGGGAGAGGTGACGGCGGCGGAGCAGCTGGTGCGTGTGTCGCGGGGCCTGCTCTGTGCACCCACACCCCGGCCCCGGCTGTGCGAGGGTCTGCGGCTGCCTGTGCGCCGGAGTCCTCAGCGGGGTCCTCTCCTGGCCCCTGGGCAGGACCCATCTCTGCGGCGGGCCTGCCTCCCTTGGCCCAAGACCCCAGGCCGCACCCTGACCGTCCCCGTCAGGGCCGGCGCCTCTGCTTGCGCCCGGGAGAGCCTGTGTCCTCGTGCCACTGAGAACAGGCCACGTTCAACATGGAGTTTCACGCAAGGGACGATTTTCGGTTACCGTCGTCGTTTACGATTTAAGAGGTTTTTATGGGGGAGTCTCGGGAAGAGGGTTTTCTGGGTATTTTCTGTAAATCGGATTTGCAGGGTCCTCTGAGGTGTCTGTCACACGTTGGCGTTTGTCTGAAGGGGGCTGGGCGGTGTTTCATGCTGGCCCCACCTGGTGTCCGCAAGGCGGCGGCGGCAAGGCGGGCAGCTGTGCACTCCTGCTGCTACGGCGGTTGAGCTCGTGCAGCCTCCCCCTCTCGTTCCTTCCTTACCGCCGTTTCTGGGGGAAGGGACGTGCAGGTCCCCAGTGAGGGCCCGGGGGCGTCGCCGTCAGGACCTGAGAGCGGGGTCATGTCTCAAACTTGGGGGTGGGCAGCTCCCGACACGGGGCCCTCGGTCCCAGGGCTGTGTGGCCCGGTCTCTGCCCTCGCTCTGCGATGTGGGTGGGTTTGCAAGTTCAAGCGCGGCTGTGGGGGGCCGCGGGTCCCCGGTTGATCCTGGCGGGGAGGGAGCCCTGTCCTGTGTGACCCTACCCGGCCTCTGCTCCCTCCCGCCAGCACCCCCAGCTATCCCTTCACTCCCAGGGCACACGTGTGTCAGGACGGGGCGTTCTCTCCACCTGGAAGGCCAGCAGACCTCTAGCGCCAGTTTGCTTCTGTTCTGCAAGCATTGAGCGCCTGCTGCACACAGCGGGTCCCCCAGGCGCAGGCCAGGAGGGTCTTAGCCGTACGGTGCCTGCGGGGGGTGGGGCCCTCCTGGTGCTCAGGTCGGGGTGCTGCAGAGAGCCCGTGTGGGCCGTTGCCGGGGGGCTGTGCTGAGGGTCCCGGTGGGGGGCGGAGGAGCCGGCCCCCCCATCCCGTGCAGCTGACCCTGACCCTGACCCTGACCCTAAGCCTGACCCTCCCTGGGAGCCGTGGGGGAGGGAGCAGGAGACTCTTCTGCGCTCCCAGCCCCTCTCTGACGACGCCTTCCTCTGTCAGGGCTTCACGGAAGGTTCCGGGGTCCGAGACGCCTCATGTGCCGGGGACCAGTGTCTGTCTGTCTGCCTGGTGGTGGCTTCTCTGGGGTGTGGGTGGGGAGGGTTCCTGGGGTGCAGCAGGGGTCAGAGCTGAGCCCACCGTTCTGGGGGCCGCGTGGGGGCCGCGTGGCGCCCACCCAGCCCCGCGAGCCGGGCGCGCTCTCCCCGTGCGTTGTGCTGTTGCGGGACTGAGTCTGGGGCGGCGAGGCCTGCGGCTCAGCCCCACCCCGGCCAGCCTGCTTCTCTCACTGCGTCCTGCGTCTGCTTTGAGGACTCTTGCTCTGCTTGCCAATGTTTCGAAATAGACGGCCCCACCCGTGCTGGGCCGCAGGAGGCCGTGCAGCCCGGGCTGGCGCTGGCCTGGGACTCCGGCCACCCGGGGCCACTCCTTCGCTCCAGCCCTGGGCACCGCGTCTCGCCCGGCACTTCCCCACCTTGTGCTTTGTGGGAGATGGCAGTTTTCTTCTGCGCAGTGGTCCCCCCCTCTGGGGGCCGCTGCCTCGAGGGCTCAGGCCGTGGGGCAGAGGCGGGGAGGGCTCAGCCGGGGCCGGCCT